TCAGACGTTCAAAGTCGAAATGGGGGGGCAGATCGTGAAGATGAGCAAGCCATTCTTTGAGCAGCGACGGGAACTCGCCAGAGAGCAGCGAGCCAGATGATCGCCCATCATATCAGTAGTGCGACTGAGGAAATGCTTAGCCATAACCGCTCATGTCTGCTGCATGGTCTGAGTGAATGGATCTTACTTGTTGAATTAACAATTCTTCAGACTGTGGTTAATCGGCAAGTACGGGACATTCGCATTACAGAGCGCAAGGCATGCTGGATGACAATGCGTATTGTGCGATGGGGGCCCCTCTGAGCACATCCGAATCCAGCCGCGGCGGTTGCGCAATGCTATTTGGCAGGTTAGACTGCGCAGAGGCAGCTCTTCAGAGAAGGCCTGCGCGTACCCAGCTGCCTGCGGCAAACCCCGCCAGCCTCAGCAATTGACATGATGTGTCCTCGCGTCCTCTTCTCGGATGCCCCGAGAATGATGTGGTGGCTCCCCGCTTAGCAGGGGGAGCTCCGACAGCACCCTTGCAGGGTTTGTGGGATGTCTGGACGCAGGCGCTGTCGAAGTTTGGCTTGCCGCAGGGCTTCATCAGGGCCTCCGGAGGCCTGTTCGTGGGTATCACCTTGGGGGCAGTGTGGGGGTACGTCTTCGTACCATGCAGCCTGCTCAGCGACAGCGGGAACATCACGCACTGCGTTTCGTTACGTTTTCTCCAGGGTGTCTTGAAGATGTCTGAGCGCCTAATTGGGGCCGCTTGCGATCTCGTCAGGCGCCGTCAACTCAGAAGGGTCTTGGTGCCGCTTTGGGGCTTCACTGAGTCGCGGTGATCGTTTCCCAGTTGTTTGGGGTCCGATGCAAGCGCCAGAAGGAAACGGGTAGTTTGGTTAGCGGTCTTGGATGGCATGCCGCGCCAACAGGGTGGAGGTGTTCAAAAACCAGCATAAACCCCGCGGGACAGACCAGAGACACTCTTGCTCGCGTCAGCGTGCCAGGGCCACGGTTGCGGATTCGAGCATATACGTTGTGATGGCAGTGTCAGGCAGAGCATTTTCAGGCGTGCCCTTCTTTGCCGCTTGCTTGACATTTCAATTTTCCGTCATTGGTACTTAGGCTCGATTGCGCTTGTGAGGAGGGTTGGATTGGCCGAAGCGAACGCGTTGAGAAAAGCAAGTTGCCTCGACTCATTCTCCCCGCACCGCCAAAGTGCATGGTGATTCGTTCGTGGTGATTCGCGCTGCCAGTTGCATCCGTAGCGGAGCTGGTCGAAGCTCCAAAGAAGTCATCCGCGGAGCTTCACGCAGGTCCGCTAGTGATGCAAGCCTGATCGACAGCAGAACCCGAACCCTACCTTCGCCGATGCACGATGGAGGGAGGTCGATGCGCGGCGAGTGTAGGGTCCGGAATTTGTCGAGCACGTGGGGAAATCTGGACCTCCCCCCGCCATGAGTGGGCCCTGGAAACGGCAGGGCCGCCTTTTCACCGTTTTCGAACAATTGTTCCTTGAAGCTGGAAGCGGTAAGAATAACGGCGATTGGAAACCGCAACAAAACGGCTTCGGGATCGGAACCACAACCAGAGACCGCAAAAAACGGCGACAGAGCTGGCAAAGAAACGGCGACGGAAACAGGGAACAACGGCCTTATCGTTTCCAGGGCCCACGAAGCCCCCGACTCCCATCGGTTCAGGAGGATCGACGGTTGGAGGGGGGAGGGTGAAGCGGGTGAGGAGGAGGAGGAGGAGGAGGAGGAGGAGGAGGAGGAGGAGGAGGAGGAGGAGGAGGAGGAAAGGAGAAGGAGGAGGGAAAGGAGGAGGAGGAGGAGAGGAGGAGGAGGAGAGGAGGAGGAGGAAGAGGAGGAGGAGGAGAGGGAGGAGGAGGAGAAGGAGAAGGAGGAGAGGAGGAGGAGAGGAGGAGGAGGAGGAGGGAGGAGGAGGAGGAGGAGGAGGAGGAGAGGAGGAGGAGGGGAGGAGGGAGAGGACGGAAGGAGGATGAGGAGGAGGAGGGAGAAGGAGGAGGATGAGGAATTGGGAGGAGAAGGATCTCAGGAGGAGGAGGAGCAACAGGAGGAGGAGCTGCAGGAGGAGGAGAAGAAGGGGGGAGGAGGAGAGGAGGAGGAGGAGGAGGAGGAGGAGGAGGAGGAGGAGGAAAAGGAGGAAAAGGAGGAGGAGGAGGAGGAGGAGGAGGCGGATGGGGGCGGAGGAGGAGGAGGAGGAGGAGGAGAGGAGGAGAAGGAGGGGGGAAGAGGAGGAGGAGGAGGTGGAGGAGGATGAGGAGGTGGAGGAGGAGGAGGAGGTGGGGGAGGAGCAGCAGCATCAGGAGGAGGAGGAGGAGCAGCAGGAGGAGGAGCTGCAGGAGGAACCGGAGAAGGGGAGAAGGAGGAGGAGGAGGAGGAATGGGGAGGAGGAGGATCTTAGGAGGAGAGGAAGGAGGTGGATGTTGAGCATAGGAGGAGGAGAAGGAGGAGGAGGCGGAGGAGGAGGAGGAAGAAAAGGAGCCTGCGAGGAGGACGAGGAGGAGGAGGAGCAGCAGCAGCAGGAGGAAGAGGAGGAGGAAGAGGAGGAGGAAGAGGAGGAGGAGCAGGAGGAGGAAGAGCAGGAGGAGGAGGAGGAGGAGGAGGTCGCCACCTATGTGACCACGAGCTGCCAGCTCCAAAACAAGATCCTGCGAGCGGCCGGTCGCCGTCAATGGGCTCCCTCTTCCGCGGCCCTCCGCCGCGCAGCGGGCGCCTCGGCCTCGCAGCCTGCACTCTCCGTCCGCAGAGCGGCACCCGTGGCAGTTGTCTCCATGCCCCAATACAGTCACCTCGGGCCAAGAGAGTGTTTTTTGTTTTTTGTTAATAACCTCTGGGCCATCACGCGCGTTATGGTGCCCCTCTCAGTGCGTCCCTGGCACTGCCACAGTGCGTCTGGCACCCCAGTCGGGGGCGGGGGGGAGGCGCTACGCTATGCCTCCTTCTGGACCCCCCCTCCCCCTCCCATAACGCACGTAATTGTCGCGTATCAGGAAAATCGCTCCTCGGGCGCCCATGCGGCGACCGGCCACTCGCAGAAGCTTGTTTTGAAGCTGGCAGCTCGTGGTTAGATTTGGTAGCTTGAAGCCTCAGCCTCCTCCTCCTGCTCCGCCTCCTCCGCCTCCACCTAGCGGCACCCGTGCCGCCGTGCTCCCTGCGCTCGCCCCAATATGCAGTCAGTCAAGGGCCCTCCGCGGCAGAGGCTCGCCGTGGAGCCAGGCCGCTCAGACCTTTCTGTCGGGGCGCCGCTTCGCCGCCGAGGGCCGTCGTGGCCAGAGAGGCCTTTGCGTGGCGTGTGGTAGCACGAGGACTGTGTTTTGCCTTGGCCGAGCTGTCGGGGAACAAACAGTGGCACAAACATAAGAATTCGGAGGTCCGTGCGGATTTCTCGGATCGGAGCTGGAGCCCCCCGGCGGCGCCTCCGGCGCCGCCCCTGGCGGGTTCCGCGCGCCAGGGGGGGGGGGTCGAGCGCCGATCCGAGAAATCCGCGCGGACCTCTGACTTTTTATGGGTATGTCATCCTTCGTCCCCCATTATGGTGGCACGATGATTGTGTTTTGCCTTGGCCAAGCTTCTCTTCTTGACGTTCGGCGTGGTGCTGGCCTTGCTGCGCAGGGAGCAGCCCCTGCCAGCCTGCGATCCCCCCTGAAGACGATGCAGCAGGCGCACGGAAGTTTACGATTCCTTCGTAAATCCATCGGATCCCTTAGGACATCCATAAGATTACTTAGGCGATCCAAAATGGATTCATTCGGAAATCCATAACAATTCTTTAGTACATATATACGAACCCTTAGGACATCTATAGGATTCCTTAGGGATTCCTTGCGAAATCCATCGGATTCCATGGGGGATCCCCCCATGGCCCTGGAGGCCCACAGAAGCCCTGTACGGCACCGTAGGAAGTCCCAGGCCGACGGAGAGCGTGCCCCGAGAATTAAGTTGGGCACGCCCCTCTACAGGAGGAATGATCTTCAGAAGTAGTCAAGAAGTAGTCTGATGGCGGCTTCAGTAATATTTTCATTATTGTTGAACATTTTTCGATTATTCTTTACATAGATCATTTATAACTATTCGAGTTCGTTGGTTTTTGTTGGGGTCCAAGATCCTTTCATTTCTAATTCTTCTATCCTGGGCCTCTTCCTGGCCACTAGGGGGCCAGGAACAAAGAGAAACGAGCACAATTAGAAACGAGCACGATTTGAAATGAACGACGCGTAGTGTTTCGCCCACAATCCGCCTGTAGGGGGACATGCCCGACCGAATCTTCAGATCTTGCAGCAAGGCTTCCTGTTGTCGGTCCCGGCGGCTGCCTGCTCAGGGGCACGGCAGGCAAAAGAAGCTGAGGGGCTGTGCTCCCCTCGTCTCGCTCCGGGCCAGAGGAGTCGGCGGCGAGCGTTAGGTCGGGCCTGTCCCTCCACAGGAGGAACATGCAAAAATAGCAAAACAAACAATAGTCAGGGGACGAATTTTCTATGTTGTTTTGATTATTTTGGGGCATTTTCGGGGTATCTTTAATTTTTCGTTCAAAATTCACCCGCAGGGGGACACGCCCGAACTAAGGCGAGCGAGTGGGGGGGAAGTGAGACGGAGAAGGCCTTCTCAGAAGGCGGCGGGGTTTCTCAGAAGCCCTCGCCCTTTCTGAGAAGTTGTTTGTCTGCGGGGAAGGCTTCTGAAAAACTTCTCAGAAGGCCGGGGGACTTCCGAGCCCTCTGGGAAGGCCTTCGCCTTCTCACTCCCCCCCTCGCTCGCCACCGACTGAGGGGAGAAGGTTGGGTGGCTCCGTGGTGTCAGCCTGCGCAGACTTGGCGCAGTGAAGGTGGGAAGGCGCCAACATGCCAGGTTTGCGCATACTTCGCGGCGTGCGTGGTTTGTCCGAATTGGTCTGTCGAGTTAGTTTCTGCCTGAACGGTTTTTGATACCTCTCGCAGTCGTCATTGTTGTGTTCTTCTCTTCCTGTCATGGCATAAGCCGGCGAATCTTCTCCCGCCCGAGATCACTATCGGGAATCCGCTCCAGTATTCGTATTTGAAGTACAGCCATGGCCTCAGATGATGGGGAGGAGGACGACGACGCACTCAATAGCACGGACGATCGTCTCCACAACGCTATCTGATACAAGAGTGTAGTACGATATTCCCAGATTGCATCAGCAGATCTGGGTGCTGGAGAGCTAACGATCTTGATGATGAGAGCGGTCCACACTTTCTTGATTTGTCGCCCGTGTTATGAAGCGTGTTTTCGGATGGTATGGATGCACCGTTCTTACGGTAGAGTGGGCTGTGCGTTAGATTATTCAGAGTCGTGTTCAGGGGGAGACGGTTGGTTGCATGTCGCACGTTGCAGGGTGCGTTGCTTGGCCTAGGGCAACATTATGCTTTAACGACGCGGCGGCATCTTCTACGCATGCGCACACATGTGAGCAATCCCTGTTGCCCAGTGTTAGCTCGCCTCTCGTTGCGTACACGACATTCAAAGCACGGGTGCACATTGCAACGCGTGCGTGGAATGCGTCGATGAATTATTAGCCTGCTGCGTCACATTCCGAGGTTATGGTCTCGCTTGGAAAGTGCATTGGTGTGCGCACGTGGATTCCTCCAACGCAGTTGCCCGACTGAGATGGTCGGTGCATTTCTCATGATAGTGCCATTGTGCAACTATTTTGAATGGCAGTCGACATGATACACCAATCGCAAGCTCGCGTCGAGTAAGGAAGGACCTTGGTGACCAAGCTCATGCAGGGGATCTCAACAGAGGCGCTAAGCTTTCCGCCAAGGATCCCCAGACCTCTCTCCGAGCTGCGAGGACGACAAGGTCCTGTTGGGTCGTGAATCGAGCTTTAAATCTGACCAGAAGATGATGGAGGAGGAGGATCCGCCACAAACATATACGCGCACACATCATCCAATGGATGTTTCCTCGGCCTCAGTGGAGGAAGCCGGTGTATAATTCACCCCTGAGAGCCAGCGACTCTACACACCGCCGCCCTCAAGGTACATGCAAGATTCGTCGGAGGGTGTCACTGTATATGTGTATATCTATAGGTGCCTGGCGTAGAGGATGCGGAGGAGGATTTCCAAGCGATCGATGTTGACCGGTCATCGCTAGCTGAGGTAGCGTCCGTATCGAGTGCACCATTAGAGACGGGACCGATTTGAGCCACCAGTACCGCAGCTCGCAGTGCGGCATTCAGGCTCCTGGTGGTGACCAAAAAAAAGTGAGTCATGTGCCAGAGTGTTCACTGGCCTCCCCTTCTCGTGTATTTCGTCGCTTTCCTCGTTCTTTGCACGTTGGTTCCATTCTCTCATCGCCCTCCTGGGTCGTGAGGCGGGCGAGGCCGAGGACGGGGATGAGGAACGACGACGCAGATGTGGAGCCTGACAAAGACGAGTGGGGGATGCAAAGTGAGGCTCATACTGTGAGGAGGACGGGGAGTGTGAGAATCGGGGGAAAAGATGAGCCCGTAGCCATTCGCCTGGGGAAACGATCTTGCGGGCCTCGGCGAGTGGAGGTGGTGCCTGTTCGTTGGGCCCCCCCCCGGGCCAAAGTGCATCCAAACCCGCCGTGGAGGCCCCCGAGGGGCGATCCCCCAGGCGGTGTGCACGCATATGGGGGAACCAGAACGTACCGATGCGCCCCCCCCCCCCCCCCCCCCGGACCTCCCCCAGGGTGCGCTCTGACCAGACTCTGGAGGCGCATCGAGCCCAGGCGCCGAGGCTCTTCTGGGAGGCACGGCATCCTTACCTCGCCCTCCCTCCGAGGATAGGCGCGCCCGCCTCGCAGAGGAAGGAGGCGGCAGCGCGAGCGCTCCGCCGGAGGGCCCCGCGCAGGTCAAGCAGTGCGGGTGCGGCGCCGAGGCGTGCGACCCCACGACCAAGTGCGACCTGACGGACCCAGCTGCGCCCAACGGCAGGCGCTTCTTCGTCGACCTCGTCCCCCCCCCCCCCCTCCCCAGACATGCGACGCCCTGACTTTTTCAGGACCGGTGTCTCATCCTGCGTCTTCTTCTGACGCTCCCGAGGCCCCGCGACGGCCCCCCGGAGGCCGAAGACAGCCAAACACTTCCCGTCCTGTTTTTTTTGTACGACGCGATCGTGTTTGGGCTCTCGACGCAGGCGCTTTCTCGCCCCAGTCTGGTGACGCTTTTCGGTCGGATCTTGCTCGCAGACAGCCGCCTCCGGTAGGTTTAGGTCGGGCCTGCCCCCCCACAGGAGGAAGATGCAAACATAATCCAAACACAGTCTGGGCACGATTGTTTGATTATTGTTCGACCCTGTTTGAAATTTTGCTGACATCTCTCTCTCGCTCTCTATGTATGTGTATTCTGCCCCATCTCTCCCCTTGCTCCTCCTTTGCCAATGAAAGCTGTGCGCGGCCCGCTTAGCCTCGACCGGACGAGGTGCGCTCTCGACCCGCGGATCAGAAAAGTGGATTCTGCCCCAAAGCCGCTTGTAGGAGGACGTGCCCGACCTGAAAGGTAGCTCGGGGCGGCCTGCACACGCCCTCTTGCGCCGCCCCGCCCGGCGGCGCCCCGTGGGCGCTCTCCCCGCCCTGTAGGGCCGAGTCCGGCACGCCCCTTTGCAGGAGGAAGCTTCAAAAATACCCGGGGGGGACGCAAAGTACAAAGTTGAGGAGGAGGAGGAGGAGCATGACGAGGAGTAGGATGTGCAGGGAGGAGGAGGAGGAGGAGGAGGAGGAGGGAGGAGGAGGAGGAGGAGGAGGAGGAGGAGGAGGAGGGGCCCATGTCAAGAGACAACCTGCTTGCCTCCAGATTGCAGTGGGTTTCTCTTGGGTTTCGGCGGTTTTGCTCTCGAGAGCGTGACGCTCCCGCGCCAAAGATTAGTGGACGTCCTGGGGTCTCGGGGTCGGATTTCTTTGTGGAAGGTTTCTTGTGGACTGGCCTCCACTGTGTTCAAGCAAAAATAGTTAGGAAATAGTCTGCGGACGATTGTTCGACGATGTACCGGGGCTGCGCGCAGGCAGCCCCTGGAGTTAGTGCTGGGCGGTCTCGGTTGGCACCGTCCGGGGCTGCCAACAGGGCCCAGAACAGCGGGAGTATGATCGGACTGTTGTTGGGGCATTTTTTATGTTTCTTCCGAAAGCTGCCAGTAGGAGGACATGCCCGACCTAACCCTAGGGTTCACGTGTTGAGACCGCCCTGGGTTGTTGGCAAGGGGCTCGGGATGAAGAAACGGTCCGGGTGAAGGCGCCGATGCGTCCAGGGGTCCGCCTGGAACGGGATCAGGGCGTCGGGCCTTCCCCTTCCTCGTCCTCTTGCCCCTGGGTCCGTGTCCTTTCTCCCCTAGATTCGGGGCTCAAGAAACGGGGGTCAATGCAGACGGGGTCACCCAGAGCGCCCCATCTTGCAGGATCTTGCAGGGCCAGGGTCGCATTGACCCGATTGTGGGTGCAGGCTCCTGCAGCATCCTCCATGATCCTTTGCATTGACCCGGGTTTGGGTGCAGAATCTTGCAGGATCTTGCAGGTTTATACAAGGCCTGGCTGATCCGGGTCTGGATTGACCCGGGTCAGCTAGAAGATCCCCGATAGATCATGGTGGCTGGCCGTTAGCGGGCCCTGTACCTCCGAGTCAAGAAGGGCAGCCTTGGTGCGAGCAGGTTCCCTCCGTCGCGCGCACGCATGCCCGCGCCGTTTTTTGTTGTAACCCGGGGTCTTAGGAATCACCCCCAGAGGCCGAACATGAGCAGCAGGTTCCATTTTCAGCTGTGTCAAAACATCGGGAGAAATATCGGCCCCCTGACTTCTCTGCTCTCCCTGACAGAATCAGCCCCAGGACCTCTTCGCTGGGGTCCGTTCTCTTCAGAGGCTCCAGGCGAACTGAGCAGCGGCCCAGGAACGATCAAGAGCACAGGTGCTCAAGCCTCGATCCTCGCTCATTCGATCGTTGACCCAGACATGATCGCCGCTTCGTGCAAATTCGGACGGGATGTTTTGAGTTTTTGTTCGGCCCTGGGGGGCCCTCGCCGGGCATCGGGATTGTGAAAAAACGACTAACGACGAAAAAACGGTCCTTTGGAAAGGCTCGGGAGTCGGGACTTCCAGGGACGCCGTCTTGAAAAAATCAGGACGGGGACCCTTGTCGCTCCTGGCGTTTAGTCGGTCCTGTCCCCCTACAGGGGGACTTTCGACGAAAATTAAAAAATACCCCCAAAACAATCAAACAATAATCCACAAGTAGTCTGGGGACTATTTTGTTAGTATTTTTTGACTTTTTTGGTGCATTCTTGGTGTATTTTTTATTTTTTGTCGAAGATCCCCCTGTAGGGGGACACGCCCGACATAATCCTGGCGACGGTCGCGAGCAAAGCACCCATGCCCGCTGCGGTCCGGACACCGGTGCGCGAGCACACGCCGCCGCGCCGTGTGCTCCGCCGCGCGGCTCCCTTCCGTCTCGGGGGGGGCGCCGCGGCGGTCCGGGGCGAGCTGCCGCCCCGGGGCGCGGTGGGGGCTTGCCGCGGGGCTTGCCGCGCGGCGGCGTCGTCTGCTCGGGGTGCGGGCCACAGGGCTTGCCGTGGGTTTGCCGGGGGTGTCGGCGTCGTCCACTTGGGCGCGTCGAGGGCAGGCGGCGCGGCGATGCAGGCGGCGTCCCGAGAGAGGGGGCTCGCTTGCGAGGGTCGAGGGGGCTGGCACCCCTTGCGCGGCCGGCGGGCGGCGGACGGCGGTGGAAGCAAAGCGAGGGCGTTGCCGCAGGCGGAAGCTGGCCGAAGCAAAACTCGGCCTCCCAACTGGTTCAAGCGGTGGCGAAGCGTCCTGGCTCGCCTACAGGCCCACCAGGGAGTGTTTCTGAGAGCCTTCTGTGGCCTGCGCGAAACTGTCTTATGTCACATTTCGGCCCGAGACCGTCTTGTGTCAGCGCACATCGGGCTTCTGAGAGCACGGTTTTCGTTCTTGGAACACCTGTGGGTTCTAAGCACATGTCGAGTGGTGGGCCTCTGGGAATGCCAGGGGCCAGGGCGGTCGGCCCCTGCTCACCTGATGGCGGCCTCGTCGGGTGCGGGGTGCCCCGCGCGCGATCTGCGCGGGGCATCCGCACGGGGCCGCCCCCGGTGCTGCTCGGGGCCGCGGCGGGGCGGCCGGGGCCGCCCTGCCCTTCTCGCCCGCGAGCTCCTCGAGCTTGCGGCGCGAGGGGAGCGGACTTCTGACCTGAAGTCGGGCGTATCCTCCTACCGGAGGGGTATCCCCAAATACTGGAACAATGGTATGGGATTTGTTCCAGTATGTTTGACCATGTGTGAATCTTGCTGTGCCTGTTTTTCATAGTTCGTCCAAAATCCGCCTGTAGGGGGACATACCCTACCCGACCTAATTCTCACCCAGACCCCCTCGGGCCAGCGCGACGGGCGGGGGGGAGCTATTCTCTGCGTCTGGGGGCCTTCGCCGGGCCACGGGACCGCCAGAAAACGGCGCAGACTGAGACAGTTGTCCTGGGGAGTGTGTCGAGACCTCTGGGGGTCGACGCATGGAAAACAAGTGATGGCGTCGTGGGTCTAGGAAGATGGCGGGGGGGTGCTCCTGAGCAGGCAGTGGTCTTCTTAGAAGGGGCTGGAGGCTTCCACTCAGCCCTCTTGGAAGCCAGGAGTGCCTCCAAGAAGCCCCCTTGCCTTCGCAGGCTCCTTCGAGGGCCGCCCCCTTGTCGCCACACCGTTCCCAGACATCTGGCGACGTGCTCGTTCCAATGCGCAGTCCCAGAGGTCCCGACCGCTTCCCTGGTTACAGCTTTCCGTCCGAGGGCCCGGGACCCGAACAGACACGCCAGCCCCAGGGCCGATATCTAAGAGAAACCCCCGGTGGAGAAAGTCAGATCGTTTCAGATTTTGGTTACAAGTGCCGCTGAATATTTGGGGGGACCACTTCGCTCGTGGCAGCAGGCTCTAGGCCTCTCAGATGGGGGTCAGAGTAACTAGATGGTGTTGGTGGATCGCGTCGCATCGCCGATGCATCGCTGATGCGGCTCGATGTGGAGCGCGATATTCTCCACGTCGACGTCGCCGATGCATCGCCATCGTTTCCGAAGCGTCACCGACGCATCGCCGATGTGTCGGCGATGCGGCGCGATCCTCCGACCCCATGTGCCCGGACCCTATCAGGGAGGCCTCTTCAGGTGCACCCCGTTCGAGCTCCATTTCTTCACGCATGCAGCACGCTCGTTCCTCTTTCAGGCCACTGCGAATCGCATGCGTTGGCCCATCGCAGGTCAGTTCGTGTAGTGCCCCTGCTCTGCCTGGCGACCTTTTGATTCGTACAGCGGTCGAGGCCGAGTCAGGTGAAGTTCAAGCAACCCCCAGAGATAACAGCCGGGGGGTTGCTTGAAGTGCCCCTGGCCCCAGGTACCCCCAAGATTTCCAGGGAGGCCCCGACTGCCTCCAGAGCACCCATCACGAGGCCCAGGGAGGAGGAGGAGGAGGAGGAGGAGGAGGAGGAGGAGGAGGAGGAGGAGGAGGAGCCGCGCGGCGCGAAGAGCTGGGGGCACCTGCGGCAAGAGGCACCTTGCTGGCAGCCCCCGAGACAGGTGCGCCCCGCTCGAGCGATACCCGGCGTTCTCGACTCCGGCGCCGACCGTTGGCGCGAAGGGCGACCCGCACTTGGTGAACCTCGCGGCGGGGCAGCCGCTGCCCTCAAGCCTTCACGATCGTCGTAGTCGTGGTCTTTGTCGTCGTCATCTTCGTCGTCGTCGCCGCCGTCGTCATGGAGGATCGTGGTCCGAGGACCGAGATTCGAGGAGGAATCGATTCCGATACTGCTACCCTTCCCTCGTTTTCATCTTTGCTGGTCTCCCGAAAGGCCCTTGTCGCCACGGCTCGATCGGCCTCGAAATCTTGGTCAGATCGCACACGGGGAGATGTCCGTGGAGTAGCGTTATCGGTACCTTGTTGTCCCCCCAGTCTGGGACCGTGTTCCGAGGATAGCGGGGCGGGGGGAGATAGTAGGAGTGTGAACTATGACTACACAGCGGTGTCTGACAAAGCTACGCTTTCCCACACGTGCGAATAAGACAGGACGGTCACGAATACGCTTATCGTCGGCACTTAAAACCTTGAACCGGAGGCCACTGGAAATCCAATCCAAATAGTTGGAAGGATGATGAGGAGGAGCGCAAAGGAAGGAGAGGAAGCGCGGCGGACCGCCCAGCCAAAAGGGGCGGCACCCCCGGGGGTGGCTGACTGTTTAAGACGGCAGCAACTCCCAAGGGGGGTGGGGGGGTCTGCCAGCCGGGGCCTCTAGACAGCATACCCGGGAGCTCCGTGGCGACCGCGACGACCTGCGCCCCTCTGCGGCTCGGGTTCCGCGTCGCCGCCGTCGCCGTCCTACCCTTGCCCGCGGCCGGCGCAGGCAAGGGTGCCCGCGCCCGCGCCGCGGCGTCCCGTCGTGCAGCCAGCTGCGCCGCCGGGCAGCAGCCTGGCCTTCGTCGCCTGTCGTGCCAGCTGGCAGCCCCGCCAGTGCCGCCTCAGAGGTGTCCAGCTTCAGCGCGGGCGGGCTGCGTCCTGCGGGTGTCGCGGCGGCAGGGCGCGTGGCCGGGCGGCGCCCCTTGCTCTGCGGTCCGCTGAGCGGCGTCGTCTGGCCGGCGTCGCCGGCGCCTGGCGCGCCGCCTAGCGCAGGCTGGTCGCCTTGCGGAGCTGGCGCGCCGTAGCAGCTTGAAGGCCGCAGCTCAGGACCTTGCAGGCCCGTGCCAGCTCCCGCGGCTGCAGGTCCTCGGCAGGCGTCGCACCTGCCCGAGCAGCCAGAGGCGGGCCTCGGCGCCGAGCCGCCCCCCCGCCTCGAGGACGAAGGGCGTGAGTCGGGCGCCCGGGTAGCGCGCGTGCTTCTCCCGCTCGCCGCGCCTGGTGGCCTCGCCGTCCCGGCGCGCAGCCACGCGCAGCTCGGCCTGCGTGCCCGCTGCGGGGTGGCGAACAGATGCGTCCAGCCACCGGGCCACGTCGTCTTCTTGGTATTCCAAATCCAGGATGGCGCGCTCGACCTGACCGTTTGGGCGCTGGCGGTCCCAAGTCGGCGCCCTCTGCTCGAGGAGGGGCCGCTCGCCGCGCCAGCGGTGGAGGAGCTCAGCGACCCTCCTGTTGAGTCCGCCGTGGCGCGGCAGCACCCCCCCGCCCCGCTGGCCGGTCAAGGCGTTGTAGCCGCGCTCGTTCAGAGTCCCAGCGCAGCCAGCCCCGTCGGCGCCGCGCAAGCAGCAGGCGGCCCCTGCGGTCGCGAGCTCCAGCTGGCTGAGCTCCGCGCGCGGGAGCTGCAGCCACCGCCTGGCGCTGGTCTCCCAGTGGGCGTCCTCCAGCGCGCAGAGTTCGTCCTCTGAGTAGGTCAGGTAGGCGCCGCTGCCGCTGCCGGCCGCGCCCCGAAGTTCGGCCTGTCCGGGAAGATGCAAGCGTCGCAGCAGAGCTACGTGCTGGTTTCTTTGCACCTTCTCCGTAGCTAGGCCTTGCTTCAGAGGCGCCTGCGTCGCAGTCGCCAGGCCCCCGCCCGCGGCGAGCTCCAGCCCTTGCTCTTGCAGCCCGCGCCGCGCAAGGGCGAGCTGCTGGGCCGCCCGCGGCAGCCGTTCCAGACAGTGTGCCAGCGTCCGGCTGCCCTGGTCCTCCGTGACCTCCTCCGCCGCCAGCGCCCAGGAAGCCAGGAAAGCCGCGCGTCGGCGCGTGCTAGCCAGCTGCGCGCCCAGGCCCCCAAAGCGGGCTGGGAGGCCCAGCGGCTCCTTGGCTGAGTCGCTGAGGTCCCGCCTCAGCAGGCCCCGCCCCAGCAGGTCCCGCCAACAGCCCCGCCCCAGCAGGTTCCGCACCAGCAGGTTCCGCCCCAGCAGGTCCCGAGTAGGTCGTCGCATTGTTCCGTTGCGGCGCCCGTCGCTAGCTCCACTCGCAAGGAGTGCTTGCTTGCCAGGCCTGCGCAGGCGCGGAAGAGGGCTGCCGTCGCGTGCTTTTCGAGCCCGGCCACGTGCAGCTTCTGAAGCTCTTGGTAAAGCGTCTGAAGCTTCCCCTCAGCTTCGGCGAGGCTGTTCGCTGGCTTCCCAAGGGCTGCCGGCGCGCTGCTGTCGGCCTCGCCCGGCGGTCGCAGGTGCTTGCCGAGGGCGGGCAAGCTGGGGCACCCAGCACGCTTGGAGCTCTCCCGTGAGCACGGCCCGCCCTGCTGGGGACCAAGCAGCTGTCTTCGCGGGGTTCAGCCGCAACCGGAGGGGCTGGAGAGCTTGCTGCAAGGCTTGCAACGCGAGAACAGCCAGCGCGGCCTCCACCACCAGGTAGGAGTCTTCGCAGCGGAGCAGCTTCTCGTAGAACCTGTCCAGGGCAACCCCCTGCGCCACGGAGAACGCAGCGGGCGACAAGGGGCCCCCCTGGTCGAATCCCTTCTCGCTTTGAAGCGGGTGGAAACGACCCCCCGCGTCGCGCCAGAGGTGTTTCGCTGGCTGTCCGTACCGCGCTAAGAGAGCTGCCGCGGCCACCTCGTCTCGCTCCGCCGTGGCCGCCAGGGCAGGCGCCCGTTCTAGGGAGGGGAAGGCGGCCTCCAGGTCCAGCTTCAGGAAGACTGCCGCGGGCCTGGCTCCGCCTGGGCCTCCAGCTTCCGCAACAAGAGTTCGGTGCCGCCTGGCCTCCCGACCCCGTGCTGCCTGTCGCCAGCTGGCGCCCGAAGATGCTCCTTTCTGACCCGCGCCAGTGCTCGCAGGCCCGGGCGGTGCACCGTGGATCCCGCGATGCGCGGCCGCACGCCGTCGCCTTCCTTGCAGAGCGCCGTGACCTCCCCAGCGCGGAGAACAGCCCGGGCCTCGCCCGGCAGCATACCGAAGGCGGTCCACGATATTGCTTCAGAGAGCCATCCCAGCGTCTCGGCGCACCGCTTCGCGTCTCCGAGGTGCTCCAAGCGGCGGCCTAGCAGCTCTGGCGCCGAGAGGCGGGGCTGCCTCCGCAGCAGTTTCACTGTCTCCTTCCGGACGCTTTCGAGGATCTCGGGTGGAGGCCGCGGGATGCCTTCCAACGACGGCGCGGGCTGAGCAGTCTCGCGGAAACACGCCTTGCTTTTGTTCAGGGTGTCTGGAGTGCGCGGGGCCAGTCTGCGGCTGGCCGTGGCTCGCAACGCCAGGCCTTCTTCTCCAGCTGCTGCCAAAGTGCGTGCCCGCGTCGCCCATTGCTCGTCGCTGTTCTTGTCGGCCGCCACTGGGATCTTCCGCCCGTGACGGACGGACGTCCAGAGCGCGTCCCACTGGGCCCCCCAGAACCGCCCGAGGCGCTCCTCAAGCAGCTCTGCGCACGTCGCGGCCTCGTCGCTGGCGCTGAGAAGGAGGAGGTCCAGCACCAAGAACAGCTTCCACGCGTCCTTCGCCTCCCCGCGTTCCCGAGCGCGCCGAAGGACTTCCGAAGACTTCCGGCGCACCTGGAGGACGGCGCCGCGTAGTCTGCCTGGGATCTACAAACACGTAGCGGTCCCTGTGGTTAACAAGTCATCCCATGGCAGGGCTGCCCACCAGTCCTGGCCGGGTATAGCTCGTTGTCGTCCCAAGCTGGATGCTACATGGGATGGTGTTGCTGCTGCTGCTGCTGCTGCTGCTGCTGCTGCTGCTGCTGCTGCTGCGCCGGCGGCGCCCTTCCAGCGGCGGCTCCTGCTCCGCCAGAAGCCTCGCGCGTTGCCGTCCGCGCTCGCGCCGCCTCGGCGCTCAAAGCATCGGCTCTCCCATGAGGCTGGAGCTCCGCGCCATGCGGCAGCCAGCCCTGCAGGCAGGTAGTGCACATCCAGCGTGATTGCGCGCGGTTGCCCCAGGTGCACAAACGCAATTCGCCTGTCTCAAAAGCTAGGCCACAAGACCTGCAGGCGGCCAGTCGTGCCGATGCTCCTTGCTCATCGACCGCCCAGATCGCTGCCCGAAGCTGGGATCCCAGCCGGGCGCTCGCATCCGCTTCCATCGTGTCCTCCTGCTCCTCCCCGCCCGGCTCCTGGCGCCGCCGGCCGCCGGCTGCTTGTGCGCCTGCGGCCGCATGGGAAACGTCGACTTCCATGGCGCGCCGCCCCCGCGGAAAGGGGCCTGAGAAAGAGGGCGCCGGGGGGGGGGGGCGTCGCAGCGGCATCAGCCGCCTGAGCCGCGGGGCGGGGGGGAGATAGTAGGAGTATGAAGTATGACTACAAGACGGTGTCTGGCAAAGCTACGCTCTCCCACGCGTGCGAATCAGACAGGACGGTCACGAATATACGCTTCTCTTCGGCACTTAAAACCTTGAACCAGAGGCCATTGGAAATCCAACCAAAATATTCGGAAGGATGACGAGGAGGAGCGTGGAGGAAGAAGAGGAGGAGGAGGCGGAGGAGGATGAGGAGCGAGTCGGAGGATGAGCAGGGAGGAGGAGGAGAAGCAGGAGGATGAGCAGGAGAAGGGAGGCGAAGGAGGGTGAGGAGGAGGGAGGCCGAGGATGAGGAGGGAGGGAGGATGAGGAGGATGAGTAGTTGGAGGAATGAGAGCATCACGGCGGCGGCTGTCTGGGTCTGCCGCCTTCTTTTGCTGCTCATCTTTTCCTCCCCCCCCTCTCCTCCTCCCCCTCCTCCTCCCTTTCCTCCTCCTCCTCCTCCATACCCTTTCCTTATATACGCCTTCCCTGTCGCACGCCGAGGCGTGCTGGCAATTAGGGCGGGCCGGTCGTTTCGCTTGAGACGTCCTCACCGCTTATGATCCCGAAGCTGAAAAGGTGCAACTGGTTCACGGATGGTGGGCGGGCCGCTTTTAATATGAGGCTCTCGCATCACCACCGCGCACATTCGACCCTGGTGCGGGGCCAGAGGGTCGTGCAGGCTGATGCGGGGTCGGGGTGCCGCGGGGGCAGGGCAGGGCGCGCAAAAAAGCAGAGCGGGGACACGAGTCGGCGAGAAGCTTGTGCAAATCTAGAGGGTTTGAGACACGATCTGGGGCCGCAGCAAGTCACGCGCAGCACGTCTCTAAACTTTTTTGAGGGGTTTGGAGACATCTGGAGGTACCCGCCCTGTTTTGGCAGGCATGTTGAACGATCGTGCGCATCACAGTTCGGATGTTCGTGCAAACGTGTGCAGTCGTGCGACACGTGTGTGTGTGTGTTTTGTAGTGTGCGTGTTGGCCCAGGCCACCCTTGATGCCGTGAAACGCGCACGTTGGCTTTCGGCTTAACGCCGCGCGCATTCGTTTCAAGATCCCCAACGGCTTCACGGATGGAGGCCTGGTGTTTTTTCAAAATGTGGATGTCGTTTTGGCGTCGCGGACATGCGTCCCAAGCCTTTGCACGGGCTTCACGGATGGATGGCGGTACCTTTTCAAAATGTGGTTCTCGCCGTAGTGCCGCGCACATTCGCTTTACGATCAAACAACAGTTTCAAGGCTTCCTATGGTTGACGTTACACAAATTGCATCTGGGGACGATTTAAGATTGTCGGGCCGCAACAGTTACTTCGACTCGCTGTGTTCGAAATCCCTGGAATGGCCTCTTGGTGCGATTCAGAATCGTAGCGACGCGGCAGTAATGGCGATTCGCGGCGTTGAAGTCCTAGGATTTGTGTTCTGTCAAGGTTCAGGATTTCTTGTACACGGTTGTCCTCCAACGGGGCACCTCTTTCAGTGACAATGAATCTTGGCAGGGAGGGAATTTGGAGGGAAAGTTCATCGCAGCATCGTTGATGAGTCTTGGCTTTGAACTGCTCGGCCTCCTCCTCCTCCTCTTTCTTCTCCTCCCTCCCTCCCTCCCTCTGCAGCATTCGTGTAACCTACCTCCTCATCATCATCACTCCACCTCATCATCACCATCATCATCATCATCATCATCATCATCATCATCATCATCATCATCATCATCATCATCATCGTAACCTTCATTATCATCATCACCATCGTCCTCATCATCATCACCATCGTCATCATCATTATCATCATCGTCGTCATCACCATAAACATCATCAACCTCATCATCAGTAGCATCAGCATCATCATTATCATCATCATCGTCATCATCATCATCCCCCTCCTCCTCCCCCCTTCTGCGTCAGCATCCTCCCCCTCCTCATCCTGCCCCTTTCCTGCCTCTTCCCCCGGATCCTTCTCGCATTTCTCCTCCCCTAGTCGTCCGTCTTTGCCGTGTGCCGTCGCAGAGCAGACAAGGCCACCTGCCCCTGCCACCCATGTTCTCTCAGGGCGAGCACTTCGACATCAACCACGGGGGCACGTTCATGCTGCTCCGCTTTCCCCAGGCCCAGCCCCCGCCAATTGTCCCGCTTCTCCATCTCTTCATCCCTCGTGCTCATCTTGTTTTCGCCTCCTCCTCCTCCTCGTGTTCATCCCTCACCGGTCCCTTCCTCCGTCCCCTTTCCTCATAATAATGATTATGCTCCCCGCGTGCCTCCCCCCATTCGCCTTCCTCGCCTCCTGCCCCTCCTTCAACCTATTATCCTGAACTTTCTCCTTCACCTCCTCCTCCGCCTCCCGCTTCGTTCCTCCTGCTGCTGTTCCTGTCTATGGCTCCCTTCTCCGTGCCCTCCGTCTTCTCTTCATCCATACATGTTCGTTCTCCTTCCTCACAAAGGAAGCCTCCTCCTCCTCGTCTGTCCTTCCATCTCACCAACATTGTCCTGCTCCCTCTCTTCCGCCCTCTTCCATTCCTCCTCCCCCCTGCTCCTCCATTCCTCTCCAGCATGGTCCTCTTCATGTCTTTCCCTTTTCTTCATTGACCAGTCTTGTTATCATGTTTCTCACCCCTAAGTATCCAAGCCCCATCCAGCTGTTTCTTTCCAACCCCTGGTAACGAAAGTAGGAACAACAAGCACAGCCCAGCAGAGGCTGACGCAGCTCGTGGCTGCTCAGGCCACGACAGAGTCCCGAGACCCGCCCGGCGCCAGTGGGACCCCCCGTGGTACCACGGAATGCGTAACGTATGTTTTCCCCTTTGCAGGCCTTTAGGATGAGGTAGCACTGCAGTGCACCTTTGCAGTCTTCGGTTCTAGGCATTCTTGCCGCGTTCTAGGTGCCTTGGGCATCTGGCATTTTCCATCTTAGCGCGTTCTAGGCAAGCAGGTTCTGCGCCACCCGGAGCGGAGCAGACTCCAAGCCCAGCGCCTTACTTTGCTTTGGGGCAGAAAGAATAATCTGATGTAGCTCCCTTACATCTCTCTCCGTCGGCTCCTTCTCGAATCCGTCCACCTCCTTCCCCCGTCATTCCGCTGCCGATCCTGTCGCCGCCGCGACTGCTCATTTTGCTGCTGCTCGCCAGTGTTCTTTTGCCGCTGCTTTCCACGTCGTCGGCCACCTTCTCTCTCAACTTGTTATTCGCAGTCTGTTCCTCATCTCACCCCCTCTTGTTGGTCAATATTTGTTGCTTGCTATGGTGGCCAGTCCTTCATCCCTCCTCGTGCTGCTATTCGAGCGCTTCGTTCCGGTACGTCTCCACAGCATGCGTTTCGTAGTCTTGGCCATTCATCCTATCCGTCTCAGTTTCCGAAATGCGCCCAGGCGTGGCAAAGACGGTTAGCATCCCAGGAGGGTCCAAAATGAGCAACACCAACATCGTGATCCGACACACGGAAAGACTCAAACTTGTGCCAGCGTGAGCCCGAAGCAGTAAGATATTGTGATGTGGATGTGTAAGCTCTGTTGTGCAAGCGATGTGGTCGTGTTGCAAGCTACGTGGTGCAAGGTATGCGGGGTAAGCTGGTTGGTGCAGGCACTGCGTTGCAAGCGTTGCGGGGTGAGCAACATGGCGCCCACGTGGACGGTGCAGGCTACGATGCTTGTATCTTCGAGGCTACGTGGTGTATACTGCGCGGCGCAGTGTACTTAGTGGTGCAATCCGCGATGTGCAAGCTGTATGGCGTCAGCTGCACCTGTGCTGTAAGTTCTGTGGGGGCAAGCTTGCAACATATATAGATCTTGCGCAGTGCATCTCGTGCGGCCGCCCCAGCGCACGAGCGCCGCCCACGGGGCGGCCCCTGTGCGCGATCGCCGGGCGAAAGCTCGGACACTCTGGCCACGGCTCTGACTGTTTCAGCGCTCCGCTCGCTCCGCCGGCCCATGGTGCCTCGCCGCTCGGGGGCCGTGTTTTGGGGCCTCTTGGGGGCCTCCGGGAGGCAGTTTGAGGCCTCCTGGGGGCCGTGTTGGGGCCTCTCGCGGAGTGCCTCTTGGGGGCCCCTTTCGGACATTCTAGCCACGGTCATGATTATCTCAGGCCCGATTCCCTTACTTGCGTTTGGGCTACATGGATTTAATTCGCACGGGTTCGCGCCCTTCACCTCCTTTCCTATCGCCAGCGTTACGGACCAGCTCATCGCCGTCATCGTCAAAACCACAGTATCATCGACCAGTTGTTGCTTGCCCTCACCGAAGTCAGCCCAGGATACCAGCAAGCCGGCAGACGTGGAGATTAACGCCCTCGTCGAACCGGAGTGGGGCAAGCCATGCATTACATACATCACGCAGGCCCGCACTTCAGTCTTTTTGAAGCAGATCTGCCTGAATCGGTGAGGTGAGGAGGAGGACGACGACCAGGATCCGTGCTGTGGTTTGTGGAAAGGTTTTGCGACGCACGCGCCAGATTTGTTTCGAATTCAGACCTGCCGCCCCAGCGCCTTCTCGAATGGATGTGCGCCCGCCGCAGTCTCAGCATCGTTTCACCGACCCCCTTTCCCCATCTCGAAGAATAATCATCCACATAAACATAAACTTTTGGTGCTCCGAGCGGATTTCTTGGATCTGCGCCTGGGCCCCTTGGCGCCGCCCTTCGCGCGCTCGGCGCGCCAGGGCGGGGGGTCCAGCGCGAATCCAAGGAATCCGCGCGGAGCGCCAAAAGTTTATGTTTATGTGTTTTTTCTTCTGCTACCATCCCCATCCCCATCCAGACCCCCACCCCACCATTTCAGCACCCCAGTTAGCGAGATTCCCCTTCGCAACCGGGGGAAACAGCCCACATCCCCATTTGGGGGGGTAGCTCGGCCAGTGGGGCCCATGCCTCGCCCATGGGGACAGGAGTCGGTTTGACGATGATGCTCCCAAATTCGTCCTATCCTACGCTCGTCCTCCTTCTGCTCGCCCCTGCCCCTCTTCCCTTCTTCTTGCCTCCTCCTACTGCACCCATGACCCTCAGGAGCAAGAAGGGGAGGATGAAGAGAAGGACGGCCGCCTCCTTGACTGGGATACTTTCAAATGTTTCAGTTGCAAGCTCTTCATGGTTGCAGCGTGGCGGAAATAGCCACTCCGCGCTTCCCACGAGTGCCGCCGACGTAAAAGTCGAACAGTGGAGCGCGAGAAGAAGAAGAAGAAGAAGAAGAAGAAGAAGATGGTCGGAGAAGAAGTGAGGCGGAAGGAGCAAGGAGGAGGAAGGAGGAGGAGGAGGAGGAGGAGGAGGAGGAGCGTCCAGAGGGCGGCGGAAGAGCAGGAAGGAGGGCTCGTGAGGGGAGGAGCGAGGAGGAGCGAGGAGGGAGGGGGGAGCAGGGCCGAGGAGGATCTGCCCCGACCTGCTTCCCTGCTGCTGCGGCCTCCTGCTGCTGCTCCGCCGCGCGGGCGGGGCCCGGCCGTGGAGGCCCACCGGCCTGCGCCGGGGCCCGCCCCCCGCGGGCGACGGTCGCCGCCGGCGCGGCGCCGCGTGCCGCGCAGCCCTGCGGACGAGCGGTTGGAATCGCCGCGGGGGCACAATCGGCCCTCCTCTAGACCCAGACCCCCTCGGGTAAGGAAAAAATCACGACGGGAGGTTTTGGGTTATTTTCGGCCTCTGGGGGCCCTTCCCGGCCCTCGGGGCCGTGAAAAAACGACTCAGGATGCAAAGCCGGTCCCGGGGAAGGGGTCGAGACCTCCAGGCGTCGACGTAATGAAAAGATCATGACGTCGGGGGTCTGGGCTAGAGGAGGGGCGTCGGGGCGCCAACTTCCCGCAGTTCCAGGAAACAGAATCGTCGATTCTGTAGATTCGCATGGCGTCGTCGGTGGTGTTGGCGCATGCCGCCGCTGCGCCGCGCGGCGGCGCGGCCGTCGCCTCGGGGCCGGGGCGGCATGCCGGCGCTGGCCGCAGCACAGGGCCGCACGCAGGCTGCAGCCGGACGTGACGGTGGGGGCGCTGGTTGAGGAACGTGCCCCGGAAGCGTAGCTCCGCGCAGTGAAGTTTGAGACCGAAATCGGTGCAAGCTGCGCCATGGCGTTCCCTGTGGTAAGCGTATCTGGCGCAGGTTGCTGTATCTACGATCCGACGCCAATGACGCGCAGATTAGAGCCGCATCTCGATGGGCATCCTTGATCTTAGCCCTTGCACTGATTTGTATATAAAACTCGCGTGCGTTTTGCAATTTCTCACGTGCTGGTGCTGCTGCCGGTGTTGCTTCTGATGCTGCTGCTGGTGGTGCTGCTGTTGATGTTGTTGCTGCTATTGCTGGTGCTGTTGGTGCTGCTGCTGCTGGTGCTACTGCTTGTGGTTTTCCTGCTGGTGGTGGTGCTGCTGCTGGAGCCATGTTGGGGGGAGGAGGAGAAAGAGGAGGAGGAGGAGCAGGAGCAGGAGGAGGAGGAGGAAGAGGAGACGGAGGAGTTGGAGGAGGAAAAACATAAAAAGAAGAGGAGGAGGCCATCTGTGGCTTTCTAGGGCCCTCTTGGAGCCGTCTTGGACCATATTAGACATTGCTGTGAGTCACGCCCAGGGAGAGGGGGGGTAAACCTCCCAAGCAGGGGAGGAATGATATTGATTTCTGCAGGGTGTTTGCAGGGTCATTGCTGGGTCTCTGCAGGGCCATTGCAGGGTCTTTGGAGCCCTCTTGGGGCTCTTTGGGGGGTATGGGAGGCCTCTTGGGGCCGTCTTGGCCCCCGTTGTTCAGAATGAGGGGGGGTCAATTCTGATCGCCCCCTCGGAGGCTCAAAAATGCCGTCTTTGTGCCCTCTTGGACCGCTCTTGGGGCGCTCTTGGGCGCTCTTGGGGCCGTCTTGGGGCCCTCTCGGGCCCCTCTTGGGGCTATGTTGGGCCATCTTGGGGCCATCTTGACGCCTCAAGAGCCCATCAGAAGCGAAAAAGCGAAAAGGCAAAACACATTGATTGTCCCCAGGTTTTGAACCCATTGTGGCCTCTTGGGGGAATCCTTGGAGGGCTCTGAGGCCACTTGAAACCGTCTTGGGGCCGACTTCAGGCCTCTTGGTTTCGTGATGGAGGCTATCTTGAGCCATCTCGAAGTACCTTGGGCCATCTTGGAGGCCATCTTTGGCTGTCTAAAACCCTCAGGGAGCTATCTTGGGCCATCTTCGACACCCCCTTCCAGACCCAAGGAGGGGGGTGGAGGTAAACCTCCCGAGCAGGGAAAGGAAGGAGGTTGGAAAAGGAAACGCCCTAGACCAATTCCTTACCTGATGAGGGCAGCGGCGATGCCCACTGCAGACCCGCAGTTGAGGTTATGCGGGCTTTCAGACTCTGGAGTCCTTATCCAAGGTTTCCTTATCCACCGCCCCCGCCGTATTACCGTAATTACCACACGGTCTTGCCGACGAGCGACGGCGCGGCGGTGGGTTGCGGCGCCGGTGCGCTTTTTTCACAAGCGCAAGATGGCCCCGTGCTTTGCGGCGCTAGTGCACAGAACCAGTGAACCTCTTCAGCGCCAACCGCAGGCCAGATTTCTATCATGGTATGTCGCGAGTACTGATTCTGCAGGCGTCGCTCACTGGCGGCTCCATCTGCTTGACGACTTCGGGCGGTGCAGAGCTCTGCCAGATCTCCGTCGAACTCACCTCTCCAGTGGCAGATGCCCACGGCAAGCTGAGGAATGATCTTCGCACGGGCATGCACGGTGCAGTCGTCGCACGAGTCGGCGCTGCATCCCTTGAGGGCCAGCTGTTCAGCAGCGTTACGGTCACGAGTGCTGCTTCGGCCGATGAGACGGTCACGAGTGTTTTCTGGCTCGCTGCACTAGGAAGAGATAGTTCGTTGCAGCGGGTTTCATCAGCAGCATCGCAGATTTGAGCTTGTTTGGCTGTTTTCTGGGGCGTGGCCTGGAGAACACCTCGTCAGACCGCGGGATCACTTTTATTTTCAACGCCACCAGCGCGCCACATTGCACGAACAATTTAGCGTGCCTCCCAGCAGACTGGAGTGAAAGCCCTCCGTGTCTCATTTTGTAATGGCCTGGAACGGTAACGATCGTGCGACGCATCGCGTTCAGGAAGTTTGCCCCTCAGCAGCTCTCCCGACCAGGGCGATCGTCCCGTCTCCTACCACGTCTTTTGTAGGGCAATCTCGTTTTGCATGGCGCACTGCTCGCTCGCCTCCCTCTGCCGCCTTCCCGACTCTCTCGCTCTCCTCCCTCTCTCTAGCTCCCCTCTCTTTCCTGACTCGTTCCCTCCTCCCTCTCCTCTCTCTCTCTCTCTCTCGCTTTCTCTCCTTCCTGACTCTCTCCCCCTCCTTTCCCT